CTTCCAAATTATTTCATCTCCATTGAATTGCCATCTAAATCAAAATATATACTTAATGAGTACATTTTGGCATTGATTAATCATACGAGCACATAAAATAAGGAGGGAAAAATATGCATTTTACATTTCTATCACTTCGCGACGGAGAGAGGGTGAGGTGTGATAATAGATAGAGAGCATCGGTGGTGGTGGCGGCGGGGATAGAGAGAGGGGAGAGAAAATGAAATAATTAAGATTTGAAATTGTGTAGGATTGATTTAACAAAATATATGAGAATTGAAATAGTAAACTAGACCTCTGATTCATGAAATGGGATCTCTAAATGTCTGGGTTCCTGTAATTTCCTCTATATTTTTTTATAAGATAAAATAATTAAAGAAAATAATTGAATAGATTAAAAACATGTATGAAAAATTGATTAACTTTCTATCTATTGTACTTAATTAAAGTTCATTTCGTAAACTTACAGTTATGTGAGAATTTTCTATTTGTAGTTGATTAAAGTGATTATTTGTGTGGTTTATTAAGGTAATTTAAAATGATTTAAATTGAATTTGCCCCAAGTCTAAACTGATTAATCCAAACCAATCGAAAATTTTTCGATTTGAGTTTGCTTGGCTTGATTTAATGCACGTTTTGGTTTGGGTTGGGTTGGTAAAATTAAAAACCAAGATGACTGATTTGATTACTTACGCGTTAGCAATTCAAATCATATCCAAATTTTCGACATGTCTGATTTTTATCTAGACCAAACTAAACATGTTTGGCCTCGTCTAAAACAAAAGCAAATTCATCATTCAATTTTATCTATTTATAATTTAAATCAATTATAAACAACTACTCACATGCCATAAATCTTTCCTTCTACAATCAGATCTCTCGATTTCTCCGTAGAAAAGTGCAGTTCGGCTTGGACTGGACTCGACAGGCTCGGATCTAACCTGGGCTTTTTACACCTCCACTTATCTCAAGCATAATCTGATATTAAATTTTTGCTAAATTAACTTGGAACTTCTCCACAGCTGTGCAAAATCTTAGATGTGGCTGTTTGATCTGGTATTCCAAAAGTTATCAGATTCATCTGAAGTCTGAAAAATGCTAGCATATTTCCACTCTGATAAGAAATCCGATAACGGGGTGCGCAATACATAGAGATCGAATCAATTGCAAAAGGATAAGTTTTTACATTATGCTTTTCTGTCTTTCTTGCTATAAAATGACGACCTGTGAGTGATTTACTCGGCCTTCTCAATCGCTTCTATGCATTCAACCACTGTCGCCTTCTTCGACATTGCTGAAATAAGGGTGTCATGAAGCACCCGATTATTTTTTAGTAGTGATCCAGCAAAGAGAACCTGCATATATTCACATCATTTTCCGTAGTATCAAGAGGCAAATTCTGTAGACATAAATTACTGTAACCATTCATAGAATACTTAAATGAAGAACTTACTGCCCATCTGGTTAAGTTTTGCTGTTGATCTTTGCTCAGCTGTGGCTTGCTCCTGTTTATAAATCTCTGAGGAAGAAACAAGGCAATGAATTAAGATTAGAGTTCAACATTTGTGCAAGCCGCCTTCTAGTTGGCACGTACAAACCTGAAGAGTAAAAAGATCAGCAGATTGGCCGACAACTTTATCGTATTTTAGACCTTCTGCTGCTAGTCCAGCCATAGCTACAACTGCCAACCTGAGAAGTATAATATTTTTAGGTCGCTTGCTCTCACAATTTTCCTTTGCTATTAAGACGATAACTTTTGGAATGTAAACATTCATGGATAATGAATTCAATAAATGTCTACATCTAGGATTAAGAAGAAGAACAAAATATAACAAAAATGGATAAAGGATATACAAGTTAATGAGCTCAAATGTTTTGCATGCAGAAATAGTTACACAACTGAGCAATTATAATGACATGCCGAACAAGGGTCACCTTTCTAACAAAATCCAGTTAATCACAGTAGAGTATGAGTACGACTATTTGCAACACAGTTTTACATGTACATGAACGTATAAAACCGACAATAAGAATGTATTAAATCAACATTTCTACTTTAAGACTTGTTCACTCTGTGTCACTTATGCTGCCATGCACCCAGTGGCGGATTCAAGATATGAAGTCAGCTAAGGAGGTCGTTGACGGCTACAATAGTAAGATTGTTTATTAATATTTAATTAAATAATATTAAAAAATTCAATCAATATATAAATACTCTAAATCGTAAAAGTTATATATATTTGAAAATATAACAACCTTAAATAATAATAAAAATATATATTTTTCAATCATATGTGTATGATCAAGTTTCAAGTTTTTTATGAACTTAAGCAAAACAGTTTATACGTAAAGCATGAGTAAACGGTAAAGACAAGCTCCGAGTTCAGGCGAAAGTTATGCAAAATTTTGAAAAAAATGATTTTTAGGGCTAGAACTATTTTTTACCCCAAAAGAAAAAGTGTTTTTCGAACTCTTAAAAGAATAAAGAGTAGCACTTAAATTGTCCAAATTTGAATTTTATAAAATAATTAATAAAACCTAACAATAAAAGCATATATATCATGGAGTAATAATTTGAGTCAATAAATTTTTTAAAATAAATTAATAAAACATAACAATAAAAGTATATATATCATGGAGTAATAATTTGAGTCAATAAATTTTTTTAAAAAATTATTTCGAAAACGAAAACTAATAATATATAATTGTTTAGTTATTATTTAGTGTATTAAAAAATAAACAAAAAAGTAAAAGTGTATAGAATTGAACCCCCATACCTCTCACTTACTAAATGACCCCTCTACCATATGAGCTACGCTCCTTTTTGTTCAACATTGGTACAATTTTATATATATATATATTATTATTATTATTATTATTTTTATTTTTTTTAATGTGTTGTGTGTGTGTGTGTTACATAAATCTTAATTAATCATTTTTCCTGACGAATCTAGCACGAGCGGCGTCGCAGGCTCGCCGGGTGTTGGATCCGCCAGTGCATGCACCATTCTTGTTCCCTGTTCTATATTTCTACAAATTTAGAATGGTGCTGGAGGGGACAATGCTCTCTCCCATTGAGCATTCTACGTGTTTAACATCTTCAAATGGCCAAGGCAAAGCATGTTTTCTTAAATCACTGGTTAATTTCTCAAATGGTAACAGGAAAGATAAAGCAAGGTATAGAAAAAGTTTACATTGTCACGAAGTGTTAATGAAGTTCACAGAGCTACAGTTATGAAAACGAAAAGTTTTCACACCTTGACTGGTGACAAATAATTGATCAATGCAAATTTTGGGGAAATCTCATAAATGACTTGAGTAGGGGGAAAAAAATCTTTCATGTCAATTTAAAGGATTTAACAGCTACAGCTGCCAGATTGATACCTGTCTACTTCCTTGGCATCGAGCTGGCCACTATAAATAAGCTTTTCCAGTCTTTCATCAATGAGATTTACATGCTCTTTTCCAATATCCAATGAATATCCAAGGATTGGAAGGCCAAGTAAGTAGGCAACTGGAATAAAAAAATTTGAATGTTGTTAAATTAGCGACACGAGACTGAAAGTCAGTAGAGAGCAAAGGACATGAAAGAGGATATGGACTTTAATATTAATATTGCCAACAGAATCATACACGTGACCTCAAAACCATAGATAAAAATGTTGGATCCTGAAGTTTTCAGAGTGAACCATGCAGATTCACTAATATGAAAAAATAAAGACCAATGTCCATCATAAGTAGTTATGGAGCTACTCTTGACATAGCAACGTGGAGGAAGATAATTCTTTCAAGTTTCTTTTCCGAAAACATGCTCAAGCTTTTGGTATCTGTCCAAACTAAGAAAAGTAAAAGAAAAGAGAGAAAAAACGAACATTCATATAGCTTGTAAGCATAGAAAATAGCCATAATATTGTGCTTAGCCGGAAGAGAAATTGTGTGCTATGTCATAATATTTTTGTAAGATTAAAAGCAGCCAGATTTGACGGGCTGAATCTCATGAAAACATTATGGAAATACCTAAAAAGTGGGCTGCTTCATGTCTAGCAATCCTGTCCTGGTAATCAGGAAAAACTGAAGAAAATCCACCAATAGCAGCCTGAAGCAACCTAAGTCCCAGTAGACAAAATCAGTTGCAACACACGGCCTACTGTATGCATGTGCATGTGCCAGCAATTGTGTTTGAGTATGTGCATATGCTGGAAGGTGATGTATATAATCTATGTAAGCCTGCACTCCACCTTTATTAACCTTATTATCATGATATGCAGAAGATTTGATAAAAATGATAATCTTGTTAACATGTACCCTCTTTCATGATGTACGGTATGGAAGCATAGTTCGTTGATTACCTACCCTGGGGAAATGCTCCCAAGTGCCAGAACTATTAAAGAGATGCTTCCAATCAAGTATGGCACAAAAAAGCCCCAATCCTAGGAAAACAAAAAAAATTGGAGCGAGAATGTGAACATTTTACAATTTTCTCCACAGCAATAGCCATGTTGTGAAACTACTTCAGAAATAAAGCAAATTTAATAAATGTTAAAAAAGATTGAAACTAAAATGAAATATACTGCCTATATGGCATAAGATGATATTGATCAATGCGAAAAACTAAATGCAAGAAAGAGGATATATTACAGCGAGAAAAGGTCACCAGTCCAGTTCAAACTTAACCGAGACAGAACATATTTGCAAGTATTAATTTTTTTTAAATGGTATATATTAGGCTTCTGTACTAACACTAGTAAAGTTTAGTTGGCCAGGTTTACAATGCATAACTTTTTCCATTTTCATAAGCCTAAAGTGACATGTGAACACTTTGGACGAAAACCTTCTAGATCTTCACTGCTTACAGTGCATTTGGAGCAAGAAGATGTGAAACTATAATCTATAACCTTATGGCTTTTCTCCTACCAAACCTCTGTGGGTGCTTCACCGACAATGTTAAGGCATATTTACAAGGCCTAGAGAAACAGGTACATAAGCCCAAGTGCTTTTTTTATTCTTTACTTTGAAGTACTTCTTGAAAAGCCTTCCTTGGACTTCGGAAAACATTTCAACAAATTTAACGAAATCTCAGAGAATTTTGATCGAGAAAGCACCAAAACGATTTATGATCATCAGATGAGCCCCTCAGAGTTCTGAATAGTTGTAGATGAAAAACCATGGTTAGACAACAGTCCAGTTAAAAAAAATTACACATCATAAAAAAATGTCCTTTTTGAACTCGCAAGTGTCAAGATTGTTCTGCTACATGTTCAAGCAGAAAAATTCCTAACAAACCGTGTAAATGAACACAAAGAGAAGGGTCATGTTTATAGTCAACCCTGATGGAAAGCTAATCATACAGATGGAATCAAGATGTTCATAGAGCTTGGAGCACACCAGTGCGCAAGAGACAGAGATATTAGTAGATAATTAAGAGGAGAAAAAGTTACCCCGGGAAGTTGACCAGCTAGAACACCCAAAAACCCTGTAGTTCCAACTACGGTAAAGAGAAAAGCTGCCTGCATCACTGAAGAAAATCAATTTAATTAACAAGTACCATGATTTACTCCAGGGTTTGTGATGATAAATGCTCAGGCCATCTCATTCCATTCTGGAAACCTCCAGGCTATTAAGAAATGGCAAAGGAATAGAAGCAAAGACACAAATTGGCATCCTATTGTAATAATCAGACCTGACGCAAAAATGAAAAAGAATTATCGAGCCAATAAGAACTTCGCCCCAGAATTTCTGCTATCATTTGCTCTAGAAATTACCAAACCTCACAAATCCCTGTGAACACCCGCCAATTGAGACCAGAGTATGCTTTAAATGCAATGAAACAATTGAGACACAAGTTCCATGAAACTTACATCATTTCTGACACTAGGGATAGCAAGGTTCTCAGCGTTTTTTATTCCAAGAGTTGTCAGCTCCCGTAGAGATGTCTGTTACAGAAATTTTCAGATAGTTACAGGATATATTTCCCCATATTAAGCTACTATAAACTACTCAAGTTTCTAATGAATATAAATATTCTTCAACATGAATGTGTAGGACCGCATATGTGAAGTCATTAAAAGTACCTAGGTGTTTTTTAGTTGGAGACTTACGTGCATCAGTCAGTGTGATTGAGGTGTACATTACCAGCAGTCAGCATGGCTGTTCTGAGAAATAGATTTGAGGCTTTAGGAGTTGTTATGATTAGTTGCAGCCTGTCATATATTAATCAGAAACTAATCTTGGACTAGAACTGTCCAGAAATAGACGCTTAAGGGACTGAAAGAAAGATTCTAAAAAATTATTCACATTTTATATGTCATGCCAAAATTTCTCTATCCTATAGTGTAATTGAGGTTAATGTTTGGATATAGCTACAGAAAACTTCATATTTGTTGTTGAGACTGACCGTACGGCGCGAGACATATGGTTGAGAACCCCACTTTTTGGCCCAACCAATTTCACTCAACTGATCAAGTGCCTTTTTAACTGCACCACTATCTTTCTACATTGAACCAAAAACATACGTTAGAAGCGATTCAAGAAACAGAAATATAAAGGCAAAAATATTTTCTACTTCATGAAGTCATTGTCATGTTTAACGGAGAGACATTTAGCATGCATAGGTGGGTGGCATTGAAGAAAAATGTAGTAAGTCTCCCCTGCTCTATACTATCATGAAATGAAAGACTTCAAACTAGTACACACACTCTACACTGTACATCTCAACTCTTAAAATTTATCGTTGCCTAATCATCCTAACTGTTTGTTCATCAGTACTACTTCCTCCACCCACTTCATATGGATTCTCAATTTCATAGTACTACTAGATTTTCGTCGGATTATTGTTGGTTACAACTTTTACGTATATTTGTAATTGAATCTCATTGTCCAAGCCTAAAACTTAGTGATGATGAAAATTTCAAGTAGGCAAACTCACAAATCATAAATTTGACATCCATCCAAACTCGTGCTTGAGATGCATTAATTCATGTGACACATAATCATCAATTAGGCGTACTAAATAATTGGCTGCTGGCAAATTAAATTACAGTAAGCGTGGGAAGTTGAAGTCTGAATTCAGAACAAAACAAACCTTTTCAACGGCGGATTGGAGTGTGGTGAGATCGATGCCAGGAGCAGTTGAGGAGGAAGCTCCTACGTAGAATTTCCTGGGTTTAATGAGACAAATGTGATTGTGCGGTGAGTTAAATTGGTTGAGAAATGATGAGAGAGAGACGGACATTTTTCTCTATCTCGCTTCGCTTGCTTGGAAGATGGTTGATTTGATAAGGTTTAGCGGGGCGAGAGGGAAATAGATAAACATAAATACGGTTGTCTGGCCTGTTACTAGAATCGTGTACATTCCACTTCCACTAGTTCAAATATGGATTTAGGAATTTTTTTTTTCTTTTTTTTTTACCCCTTCTTTTCTTCTTGATATTGAACTCTTCAAACCTCTGTATTAGTAGCATTTTCGTCCTCGTGGTTTTAGTTCAAAAAAGCCAATTCTAAAAGTGCAAAAAGTTAAAATTACAAGTGAGTAAGTTCTTCTGAAGGGGCCAATAATTTCGTCATATGCTTTACATATGTTTTTTGAAATAGAAATTATTGCATTACATTGGAGAAGTATGCCTACTAGGTACTAAGGGTCCGTTTGATTTCAATAGTGGAATTTGGGTGGAAAGAAAATGAATTTCAAGAAATTGAATTATCTAGAATTGTTTCCTGGGAATTGTCAATTAATTATATTTGATTAGTATAATTTTTCACCTTAAAAATGTTAAAATTTTGGATTTTTTGTTATTTGTTTGACTTTATTTTCCATGAAAATTATCCATTAAAGGAATTTTTTTTTTAGGACCAAAAAAAAAACCTGGAAACCACTTTCCCATCACTTTGGTGGGAAAACCAATTCACTTAAAACATGGAAAAGAGGTCACGTGAAGGGGGGGGCGGGGGGGGGGGGGGGAAAAGGTTTTGCCAAGCAAATTTTTACTAACAAACAACAAAAAACTTGGAACTTGGAAAATAAAGGGCCCTAAGTGTTTTGCATAAAAAAGGTTTTGCCAAGAAAATTTTTACTATCAAACAACAAAAAACTTGGAACTTGGAAAATAAACGGCCCTAAGTGTTTTGCATAATTTCCTTCGTACTGGACTGGAGCAGATAGTGCGAGTAATTATGTGGAAATTCAAATGAGTTATTGTCCAACACATCGGGTTCTTGTATTCAAATAGATCGAGTTTCAAGAAGCTATACATTTTCTCACATTGGGGTATTTATAGGCACCTGATGACACGCCAATGTTTCATGATTAATTGTACCACGTGTCTCATGTATGTCGTTCCACTTCTCCACGTTCTAAAGTTGTGACCCCTACACGTCTAGCGGTTGGTTATGCCCATGTTCGTTGTTGGGTGGTTTTCGTCCAACTCATTGCCATTTATTTGGCTAAGTTTAGTATTGGTCACGTGGTGGTAGGCGGCTCTGTGTGAACGTAGAGTGCCTTATGGGGGTCGACGACCCCATTGTGGTAGACGGCCTTTGTGAACGTAGAGGTCCTCGTGGGGGTCGACGATCTCATGGTGGTAGACGGCCTATATGAACATAGAGGTCCTCGTGGGGGTCGACGGCCTATGTGAACATAGAGGGCCTCATGGGGGTCGACGACCTCATAGTGGTAGACGGCATATGTTGTAGTGCTCTACAGGGGGTGCATATTAAGTAGTTGGCCACTGTGGAGAATTATTAACACCATCTTTTATCAAAACCATTTCATTCTTAGGAAGATTATCATTTAAATTCATTGGCAGCTTATCAATACTTCAAAATAAAGGCATCACTCTCTGAACAGTTGAAAAAAGAAATTAGTAAAACAAGATGTATGTGAGATATGCATGATAAGTGTATTTTGTACACTTATCTAAGCCATTAAATTATAGTATTTGTTAGTGATTTGGATGAGTTATAACTTAATTTTGTGTTAATTATGTTTGTTAGGTTGAATTTAATGCAAATTGGTGGATTTGAAAGAAATAAATAAAAAATGTGCGAACTCGAAAGAAATCTAAAGTTTGGGGACCAAAGTGTAAACTTTCAATAGTTGATTCAGAGCACAAAACAATGATTGAAGATCATATAATATTAATTGGATGCAATTGGAGGTCAAATGAGTGAAATATAGTAGAAGTATTTTCACAAATCAATTTCAAGCCGAAAAAGTTATGCTCCAAATTTTTAGCCTCAACTTGAGACCCATGTTTAGGATAGCAAACATTCGAATTAGGAAAATTGTATTTCTTGATAAATCGTATCCCTTTAAATTAAATTTTCAATGTATTTTGAATCAACTCAATCGGATATTCGTAGAGAAAGTTATGGCCAAAATGTTAAAATTTGCTCAGGGACGAACTTGTGCGCGCGAGGGCAATTCATGACGCAAGCGGCACCCTATTTTCCCCAACTCGAGAGTCATTTGGTTCTATGTCACGCGGGCGGTAGTTATACCAGTGCGCGTGTGGGGTCTTTTCCGCAAACGAATTTTTATTTTCCTGTCGCGATTCAAACTCTTTTGAAAACCAAATTGGACGCGATTTTTACCTATTTTCTGGTTCTTATAAATAAAGAGCGGGGGCTATACATAAAAAACCTCTCTTGCCTCTTCGTACACAATAATTTCATCAGATTCACCCAAAATAAGAGGCTAATTGCTATGTTTTGAAAGATGGGATGAAGCCATAGCAAAGAATTGAATGTCAATTACATTAAGATTTTGAAGAATTCAACATTGGGTTTGAAAATCAACATCTTTTGATTTATTTCTTTATCCAAATGATATTTTTCTATTATTCTTCTTCTAATTTATATATTAGCGTTTTGGGCTAAATTCGATTTTGTATTGGATGAAGATGAACCATATTGTTTGTTTGTTTTAATTCAAGGCTAGTAGTTCAGTTTATTTATTGCATTTCTTGATTAATTTTGCATACTCATTGCATTATTTAATTGATTGGCCACCAATTAGATAATTAGTTGGTTGTTGTAGTGTTGGAAGACTCACAATAAGTTTAGAACGCTACAAAATTAACATATGTGTAATAGATGTTAGGAATAACATTTATCGTATGTGCAATCATATAGTAAACTTTAATACATTCTAATCATTCGAATTCGGGCTAAGAATAGATTCGTGTCGTGATTAGAATAAATTTAATTTGTTTTGAAAAAGAAAATTATATATCATAATTTTATCGATTGTCAAGAACGAAAGAACAATACTAGATTACAAATCAAGAATTGAAATAGATAGCATCAGGCGGATTCAAGATCTAATACAATCATCCATAAATTGATAAAACCACATTTTTACCGCTTTGTTAGATTAATTTAACATTAAAAAAAAAAAAATCAAACTCTCTTTTGTTTATATAATTCGAATCCCATAAAAAGTTAGTAAACTTGAATTAGTCCCCGTTTGAGCCACATTAAAATTTTCATTCTCATTTTTTTACTGATTTTCAACCACATATTCTTCAATAAAATAATATTTTCCATCACATCAATAACTTTTCCTTCTTTTTCAATCATACATTCTCAATCAATATACTATTCCAAAATACATTCTTCCAAAATAATGTGACTCAAACACACTTTAAATTTATTCCCTATCGGACGATACTCTCAACTCATCAATTTTCTTACTTGTCAACGATTCCGTACACTTGCGAGTTTTACAAGAGCAATGCACTTGTGGATATGTGGTGTAGGTATATGTGCAATAATTTCTGCATGAGAGGAGTGGAGGATAGCTTTGTTGATAAACTCGGTGGGGAAGGTGCAAAGGTTGGTTTAAGCAGGGTGCATGTTTTGCCCCTGGCACTGTTGCATTTATATCTAAAGTGGATATTACTTCTTCGAGAAGTTGCTATTTAACTATTTAGTGCCAAAGTGGACGTTTGATCAACTTATAATTGATTCTAAACTTTGCCAAACACACACTAACAATAAGTCTAAATTTTCATTGTTCTAGCTCTCGATGAAGCAAGGGGATAGTAATTTTAAGTATCGAGTAAGCGTATCTCACATTGATTAGTTACCGTTAAAGATGACATATATTGGGGTACAAGAGTGCAATTGTCCTTTTAATAAAAGCTCAAAGAATTCAAAAATAGTGCACTTCATTCATATATATATATACATTACTTTTTTCTTCATTTATTAATAATTATATTTATTAAATGTTCATATATAAACTCGAACGATGTAGCTTCTTCTTTTTGTAGAAACCTTTCCAAGAAGTTAATTTAGGCCAACTTTCTATAAAATGTCTTCTTATTAGATAAATCATTTTCAGAAAATTATCTAATCATATTCAAAAATAGTTTTTTAATCTCAAAAATAATTTTTGACTTTTCAAAAATCTTATCAAATGAACTTTGGCCTGTAGTGATACATGTTAAACAATAATTTTCAGACAGTAACAATAATATACACACAATTTAGTAATTAGTTACATAAATAATACAGAGATGAAACATAGTAACAACGTTATTTCACGAAATGTATGAAAATATCATCCTATGATGACTATATATTTCTACTCGCCGTTTACAATTCCTTCAATATTCATATTTAATTGACTAAAATTGATCATCTGACCAATCACGTGGCTCGATCTCATAAAATAAACCATCAATGATCTGATCGATGAGCAAGTCGATCAACGTATTGCAACGGATGGTAAACATCCGACCTACCCCTTTGCGTGCACTCGAAAACCATGCAATAATTGCCGCACTCGTCACTGCCGCCAAACATACCCCCGCAGCTTCCGCAATACCTTGCAAATCCATTTTTCTGAAAACAGAATTTCCAGTCACCATCTCGATGCTTACTGTTGCTGCAAACACCATCTGCAAAAGGGAAACTTAGTCTTAATGCTAGGGAAAAGGGGATCGAGTTCATCTTTATTCAACGTGAGATTTATCCCATAACATGTCTCCGAGACATAGTGATTTGTTTAAAAACGTTGATCTTGAAGAATTGAATTGCTCGCTTGATAAATTCTAAGATTCCGTATTAAAAGTCAATCTTACCATGGCAAGTCGACCGGAAATGATCTCAAAGTCCTGACTCTTCTTCGAGCTCTCTATATATTCAGACAAGGTCGCGAAAAAATTTGAAACTTGATCATCACCGTTAACAATATTCTTGGCCTTGATTACCCCCGCGCGATCACCGCTATATGATCTAAGTGTACACAGTCTCGGTTGCAGCACAATTTTCCCATTGTCGGTGGCTGTTTGTGGCAGCTCCACCAGTTTCGGCTTCTGGATCTGCAGCGGTGCCGCCGATTTATCCGACTTGAGCTCACAGAATACCGGCCGCGCAGCCAATTCCATGAGGGAAGATGAGAATCTATGTGGATGATTCAGGGTTTTGTGATTCTTTTCTTATTTCGTAGGAATCTGTTTTGTAGTGTGTGAAGGATCCACGTCTAGGAAAAGTTACGTCCAGTGAGGTGTCGTTTGGTGATTGGTGGTGGAGTTTGGGTAAGAACAATTATAGACGTGGAGCTTCATTTGTTCGTTAACGTTGTTTTCAGTGGGGATGGTGAGTACAGAGTACTAGAGCGTGGAAGCATATTGAAAGGGTTAATATTCACAATCACTGAACTTTCGAATATGCAATCATATCGATCCATCGCCCACGTACTGAACAGCTGTTAGAAAAATGGATGAAATTGCTGATATTAGCTAGTGGGTGATGGATGAGATTGCATATTCCAAAGTTCAGTAATGAACATGAACCGAGTAATTTTTAAATACGAATGACCTAATGGAAACCTTAAGCAAAGTTTAGTGATTATTGGGATTATTAATCCAACTTGGATCGGCATTCCATGGCAATTCCAACCCTTTTCTTATCTGTAGTATACACATGCCTTTTCTGAGATGGGATAAAAACATTCAAGAGAAATTAACCGAAAAAGTGTCTATAAATGCAATCACGAAAGATATTAGCATTCATGATGAACTTGAAAAGGGGATTAATTTTCCGTAATTATGTATATAGAAGGAAATTTGGTTACCTCATTTAAAATTCCCTCATATATTATCCATTTATCTAGAATTTTATTAGATTTTAACATTTCTTGTAAAAATGAGTAAGAGAATCTCTTGACTTGTTAACCTTGAGGGGTTGATCAATTGGTCAGCCTTGAGTTTGCTTTCCAATGGTCATCAGTTCGAATTCTCTCAAAGCCAATGAGGTGAGTACTCGATCGTAAACTTCAGGGCCCCGCGAAATTAGTCTAGATGCGCGCAAGTTGGTCTGAACATCCACAGTTATAAAAAAAAAAAAGAATCCCTTGACTTGTTGAAGAATAGTTTCTCCTTGACATTGAAATTAAGAAGCTCTATAAAAATGTATGTTGGAGTTGAATACTCAATCATTTGACCACTCCATTAATAAATGACACAGAAGAAATTACAACGGATACAGTGGGGTTGGAGGATCGAACAATACAGAGATTTTGGTACTGTGTGCATGACAACATGAGGTCTTCAGGTGTCCTATCAGATAGACAATATTTATTTTCAAATCATATTTAAGAAAAAGAAAAAGAAATTAGATGTTTTTATATTTTACTTCGTTCGGTACATCATTTAGCAGAAATGTTGGTATTCTTTGCTCAATATTATAAGAGCTCACCTTTTCATTTTCCAATCTCTAGAGGAATAAATATTTTTTTGAGAAATGCTATTAATCCCCACTGGGGATGCATCCCCAATCTATGTGGCGTTAACGTGACATTAAATGATAGGTGAAATTAAATAAGTCATTTAATTTCACATTTCATTTAACCTATCATTTAAAGACATATAGATTGTGTTTTCATCCCCACTGGGATGAATAACATTACTCATATTTCATTGAGTGAATCTATTTTTTGATTTATTTCATCTATTACATGACCGGAATAGGTGAGGATAGATTAAGGTTCAGATGCCTGTCATTTGAACTCATTTCAGTTCAGTTTATGAAAAAGATATGATTCATATAAGATAAAATATTATTACATTCCATCCGATATCTTACAACTAGAATCCTTCTATTTTCCGATCCAGTTCCTCCACCGCGAAACCCCCATTGAACTTTAAAGATTACCCAGCATGTCAGCAATTTCGTCTACTTTTCTAATAGCTGTTTAGTGGGTGATGGATGGGATTGCATATTTCAAAGTTCAATGATGAACAGAGTAAATTTTAATGTTCAATAACGCAATGAAAACCTTAGGCAGTTGAGATTATTAACCATGAATCATTCGTTTCTTTGAAAAGCAATGATGATTATTGTTTTGAGTAATTATGTAAATGATTACACGTAATAGTTATTCAATTAAATTTAAAATTTTATATGGTACCATTAAATGTCAATGTTATCATATGGCAAGATTCATCATGTCATATTAGCAAAAAACGTTGTTAGAAAAACGTGAGTTAATATAGAATTTAAACCAAAAAATATTATAAAAACTAAGGTCAACTTACGTTTTCTCATAAAAACATGTTTAATCTCTAATTCCTAACTCACCAAATTTGTTGGTTTTCCATAATAAACAATACTTTTTTTATTAACATGTTGACGTTTATTGGTGTCACGTGGAATTTAACATTAATGGTTTTAAATAAGTGACCATTATTGTGAAAGTGAAAATTTTGAACGATTATTATCTTAAAAAAAAAAACTTCAATCATCATTTTACTCAAAACTCTATTGATCATTAGTGTAATTAATCCAAGGAAAAAATTCACAATTAAGAGGTTTGGTTTTACCCGTTTCAAATTTAAGAATTTAAATTTCAAAATTCAGATATTTTTAAATTTTATTTATAAATTAACTAATTCAATATATATTTTATTAGTTAAATATATTTAAGTCACAAATTCCATATAATTGGTCACACATTAATTGGTCACAAATCACAATTTTTATATGTCACAAATTATTTTACGGTTACAATTCAAAAAATTTATAAGTCACAATTTGTTCATCGGTCACAAATAAAAAATTTATACGACACAATTTATTCATCAGTTACAAATCTATCAAATTAATAAGTCACATATTATTCATTTGTCACAAATCACAAATTTTATGTCACGAATTTTTTTGCGGTCACAAAACATCAAATTAATTGATTACGAATTATATTTATGTCACAATCTATCAAATTATTGGTACAAATTAATAAATTTTTAGGTCACACAATATGTATTGGTCACAATTTACCTGTTTCATTGGTCACATATTATTTATTGGTCACACACCAACCAATTTATTGGTCACAATCAACCAAATCATTTGTGACCACCACTAATACTTATGATGACCACCGCACAGTTGCAACAGCCTAAACCACAGTCGCCGAACCACCAACACTACCTCCCGGCAACAAAACCATCGTCTTGAATACAGTAGCCAACATCACCACCAACACCGCACAGATCCACAACCACCACACACTGTACAGATCCATCACCGTACACCGCACCTCCCACAGCACACCACCACCACCACCTTCTCTATCTCCATTTACACCACACCCAACCACCACCTTACCACAAATCCACCGCCATAGCACACCGCATCACCCACAGCACACCACCACCACCTTACCACAGATCCACCGCCATGCCCACAGTACACAGATCCATTATCGCCATGCCTACACCACACCAGCCAACAAAACCACATGCACTACTATATCAAACAACCAAAAACCTCACCAACACTGCCCACATCATCGCTGCTAACACGAGCACCGCCACCCACATCACCACAAAGCAATCGATATGGAAGAGGAACTAGACGCAGCACTGCCGAAGTGGATGCTACAGATGGTAGAAAATCGGAGAGTGAGTGCTCTGAGTCGACGATGAAAAAGGCGATCACGGCTAGATAGGACACCCAAGTAGAGAGCCAACTATACCTTAATGCCCTTCCACTCGAGCAACGCTGCCCGACAGAAAAGTGATCGATCCAGCAAGAGCACTAGTCGCCGAAGAGAAGAGATGGACGGAGAGAGAAGAGCGAGAGTGAGAAGAGAGTGAAATTAGGTGGAAAATTTTAGGGTTTGTCGATTTGGAATAAAATTGATTAGGATTTCTGGATTTGGGATGAAAATTGTATAATTAATATTTAGCCCCCATTTGGTGCACATTTTAAATGTAAGAATGCATTTTTATTGTAGATATGATGGGGAATATGTGATTGAAAAAGAAGGAAAAGTTATTGATGTGATAGAAAATATTATTTTATTGAAGAACGTTTAGTTAAAAATGAGTAGAAGAATGAGAATGAAAAAAATAATGTGAACCAAATAGGGCCTTAATATTTTAAAATAAAATATCTTATTTTTGAATAGTGAAACCTTCTATCTGAAATTTGAAATTAAATCTTGAAAACTCTTGTTTTATGTAATTTCCTCTTAATCCAATCAGTTATTGATTTACGTGACCTAATTTTAACTCTATTATTGAGGCGTTGATTTACGTGACCTAATTTTAACTCTATTATTGAGGCGAATGTTCTGGCCTTTATATTGGCCTTATTGAGTGGGTCAAATGTAAATAGGCCTTTCTATTGGTCACAATGAGTGGATCGCATCTTCAATCTTGGGTCGTAATTAAACGGGAAAAATTCATTTTTCATACTTTATCTTTACCCTATTTCAAAAATAACAAAACAACTTTCACATTTCAAAAATCAGATATTTTAACCTATACATACACACATATATAAATATATAT